ATGTCTCTACCAGCTTTGCACATCTAGAGACTGAAATCCTTGCCCATTCTTCTTTGCAAAACAGCTCCAGCTCAGTCAGATTAGATGGACAGTGTTTGTGAACAGCAGTTTTCAGATCTATCTCAATAACATCACACTAACATCATTACCAAAGCAACAGTTAGAACAACAGAATCTTAGATACCCCACTTACCCCAGAATAAGAAAGAGCACTACAAAAAATGTAAAACAATATAGCACTTTGGTCCTTGTTGGTCTGCTCACATTTATATTATTTGTCCTTTATCACATTTCTTTTTATATTCAATTTCAGATAAAGAAATATATTTGCGGAACAAATCTATTAACAATTCAACGGTCACAGAATTGTCTCGTAAGATGATGCACACGCAGTATGAGTGGCTGTTCATCGACATGTCAGTCAACAACGAAATTGTTGAAGATTATGGATTCAATCAAACTGTGGTCATTTACACTGTAAGTATTTCTGGAAACAGAAAGGAAAACTCGTTCTTTTCCCTTTATCCATCTACTCTAGCCACCTGGTTTCAGGTCAGCACTGATCACGTTTTTCCACAGCAGGTGATGGATGTGCTGAACCATGCTGCTGTGTTTGGCCCAGTTCAGTTGTAGGGCAATCTTTGAGTTGCCAAGTTTGCAGTGGACAATATGCTATGATGTACTTCAATTAATATAATTTTTATTCATCAGATTTATCAGCCGTATCATTTAAAGTTATCATAATTTGCAGTATATATTTAGAAGTGTGTAGGATCAGTAATAAAAGTATGTGTAAAAACAATAACCACAAACGGTAAACAAATTGTCCTATACAATAAATAAATAAAAAGATATCTAATTTGTCAAACATTCTCACATGCACCCTATCCTTGGGCTGTGCATTTAAAGCCGTCCTGTTTCACTAAAACAGTACAGGATCATTTATGCACAGTGTATTGTACACTATAATCTGAAAATCAGGCGGTCTCCCTGATTTTAACCATTGATAGCAACGAGTTATCATTGTTAATGTGAGGTTTAAAGGACTTGTATTCAGCTTTAAAAGAAGATAAGTCAGGTTTTACTTTTGATACTTTATACTTGGTTTTTAAATAAGTTTTATTTGTAGTGATATTTTTACACAGTGTTGTTTATTTCCTAAAGGAGTGGTTTGAATTCCTACACCACTTGTCACTGACGGCTAATAGCAAATATTTTTTTGGTAATATATCAGATATTTATTTAACTATAGAAGTACTTTTTTGCAATTTTTCAGCCAGGAAGGAGTGCATGACGGTGAAGAAGTCCCTGTAGAGTGCAGCAATAATTTGTCAAAGGTCACTGCACGCCACTGCCTTATATACAGTTGTGTTCAAAATCATAGTAGTGTATGTTAAAATGTGAGTAAAGTTCAAAATCCATATAATATTTTTTTTAATTTCCCTTCATTTGGAACACTGCACATTATATTTTTCTTCATGTTTTGATGAAAAATATAAAGTATCAATATTTCAATTACTTGTCTGCATTTTTTCATTACAAACTCAAATATTTACTCAATAAACTGAAAAATGTTAAGATTTAGCATTCCTGTGTATCACTAAACTAATATTTAGTTGTATAACCACTGTTTTTGAGAACTGGTTCACATCTGTGCTACATGGAGTCGAACTTCTGGCACCTGTAAACAAGTATGCCAGCCCAGGATGATTTGACAACCTTCCACAATTCCTCTGCATTTCTAGGTTTTGCCTCTAAAACCGCATTTTTGATGTCACTCCACAAGTTTTCTATTGGATTAAGGTCCGGGGATTGGGCTGGCCACTACATAACCTTCATTTTGTTGGTCTGGAACCAAGATGCTGCTCACTTACTGGTGTGTTTGGGGTTGTCTTGTTGAAACACCCGTTTCAAGGGCATTTCGTCTTCAGCATAAGGCAGCATGACCTCTTCAAGTATTTTGATATAAGCAAACTGATCAATGATCCCTGGTATGAGATAAATAGGCCCGACACCATAGTAAAAGAAACAGCCCCATATCGTGATGCTTGCACCACCATGCTTCACGGTCTTCAGAGTGTAGTGAGACTTGAATTCAGTGTTTGGGGGTCGTCTGACAAACTGTCTGCAGCCCTTGGATCGAAAAAGAACAACCTTTCATCAGCGCCACAAAATGTTTCTCCGTTTCTCTTCAGGCCAGTTATGTTCTTTGGCAAATTGCATCCTCTTCAGCTCTTCTGTTTTTTTAACAGTGGAATTTTGCGGGAGCTTCTTGCCTCACACAAGCGTCCTCTAATTGTCACAGTACTCACAGGTGACTTCAGACTGTCTCTGATCTCACTGGCTGAGTCATTCTGGCTATTGTTCGATCCATTCGAATGGTAGTCTTAAGTTTTTTTTCCACATCTCTCTGGTTTGGCTTTCCATTTTAAAGCATTGGATATCATTTTAGCTGAGCAGCCTAGCATTTTCTGCACTTCTTTATATGTTTTCCCCTCTCCAATCAACATTTTGATTAAAGCATGCTGTTCTTCTGAACAATGTCTGGCACAACCCATCTTTCTAAGGTTTTCAGAGAATATTGCATGTACAACATGTGCTGGCTTCATCCTTAAACAAGGGCCACATGAATGACACCTGTTTCTTCACATAATGAATGACCTCACTGGTTGGACACCACACTGCTATTATTGTGAACACGCCTCTTTCACTTAATTATTCAATTACACAGACTCAGGTGCATTCATATTGTGAATGTTGAGTGTGTTGGTTTCTCTGACTCTACTCACCTACTGGTAAATTATTTGCCATATAAATTATAATAAAATGATTCATATCAAAAACACTGATCTGATTCGTCATGTTGGACTGCTATTATTTTGAACACAACTGTACATCCTGTGGTGGTGTTACAGACACCCAAAACAACATTAATAACACTGCATGGTTTGGCACATTTACACCACCCAAAACTTTTCACTTAACTCCTTTCTCTTTACTATTTTAATACAAATTCACATAATACTTCTTTGAGTATCTGTTTCTATTGTACCTAACCACCTGGGGAAACAAATTCACAGATTACCATGAAGAGGAGGTCTGTCCTCTACGTTGCCAATTTCCTCCTGCCAGTGCTCTTCTTCTTGCTTCTGGACTTATCCTCCTTCCTGATCTCAGACACTGGGGGTGAGAAACTCGGCTTCAAGGTCACTGTCTTGCTTGCTGTCACAGTGATGCAGCTTCTTCTCAATGAGATTCTGCCGAGCTCTTCAGACAGTATTCCACTTATAGGTAAGGAAGCGTGTTTGACTGCACATATAGTCAATACTTATTTGTCCACAAATGTAATAATACTGTCTGCCCTCCTCAGCTGTCTACTGCATTGGAATTTTTGCTCTGATGCTGCTCAGCCTCCTGGAGGCAATTTTGGTCAAGCATCTGATTGAAAAGGATTCTGCAGTTGAAGATGAGACAGATGGAGACCGAAGCCTGGGGGAGAACTCTGGGAACAACCAGGGCAGCCACAACTTCTACAGCTGTTTTAGAGGTGAGCTTAATCATAGCAAACATTCCACAAATCTGCATGCAGTTTTAGTTGTGTTGCATTAATCTTTATGCCTA